CCGCAGCTCCGGGGCCTCGAGTTCTCCTCGTGGAGTCGTGGAGGGGCCTGGGGCCTCGTGGTGGGAGCTGCGACCCGGAACTGGGAGGCGTGCAGCCCGGGGCCTCTAGGCAGGGGCTGGGATGTGGGCCTGGGGCTCCCTGGACATCACTCCCGGGCTGGGTCCGGCGCGGTCAGGGTCCTTCCTCCTCTGACTCTCTCCGAGGCGACCCTGCGCCAGCGAGAGAGCAAAGACCCACGTGGGAGGGGGATGCGGAGGGTTGGGTCCCGCTGCATTGAAAGTCTTCGAACTCTGGAGAGTGGGGTGTAGGGTGCGGGGACCCTGCTTCCGTGGCTCTCTGTGTCTCTGTGCGGGGGTGGGAGCAGGGCCCGGCGAGTTGTCCCTTGCCAGACCTCGCTCCCAGGGTTTGTTTTCTGTGAGTAAATAAATGTACGTTCCTGTTGTTACTCTCTCCTTCCCATCTGCTATACGGGTCACGCTATTGGAGATAGGACGTCGGAAGGTGATGTGAGGCTAATTTCAGAGGAAAATGTGCGTCAAGGTCCTGCTCGGGTCAGTGCCAACATTATTTTTGGATTTGGACACAGAAAGTGGACACCCCTGGACACTTGGAATCAGCTCTAAATACTAGGGACTCCATGCAGGTCTTGTAGGTTTTATAGAAGCATAGGAGAATATAGCTGCTCCCGTAGAGGGAATACTTTAATTTCAGATATGTTTGTTTCGGGGTTTAAGTCCGAAATCAAGAGACCCTAGGAGTTCCTGATTGATTCCATTTCTACTTAAGCAGTTTTTCAGTAATTTCCCAATGTGTGGAATAAACCTCATAACCTAGTCCTCACTCTCAGAGGTTGATCCCTTTAATCTAGATTTCTTTTCATTCATTTTTTTTCCCCCTCCAACCCCATGATACAGATTGAGAAACATGCTTACTTTGGTTACATGGTTTCTTCTTTCTGGGTGGTAGGAATTATCTGATTTGTCTCTTACTTCTTGGTGGGAATGCTTTGGATGTTTGTGATTGAGAAGTATTTCTGTGCTGCCTACTTGGCAAGCACTTTTAAGGACAGTGTGTGATCTAATATAGTAATATAGAGCAGGACAGCAGCTGCAGTGTCCAGGTAAGTGCCTGCTTGTTACAAAGTAGCAAGTCTCTTCCCACTTTTCTTGACTTAATTTCCTCATTTCTAATAATAGGAGGACTGTTGTGAATCCAAGAATAGTTATGAAAGATGTCAAGACAAAGTACTAATTTACAAAGCCGCTTGGGTTTACTTGTGTTGCAGAAGTTTTGTTTTTGAATTTACCAGTGCAGAATTGAAATACATCAAGCATAAGGTTGAATTGTTTTTAAAATTGGAGGGAAGATTGGGAAATGGTGGCATTTAGTTTAGTGAACTTATAGTTCAGATGATGACTAGGTTATGTCAAAGAACTGGCATTGGGAAAGAAAGCCAGCCTCAGAACTGTCTCTCTGATATTTACCTCTCTGAAGAGCTGTGAACAGGTTCAGGTGTAGAACATTATGTAAAATTCTGTTACCTTTTCAGTTAGTGATTAGGAAAACATTTTGGCCATCACACAGACTGGTTTAACAGGTCTGGGGCTAGTGTTTTTCTTTCTTTAAAATAATTTTTAAAAAATATATAATATACTAATAGTCATGGTTGAAGAAAAGTAAATTAAAATGAAAATTGTTGGAATAATACATTGGAATTTAGAATTTCTAATTGGAGGAGTCTTTTTACAATTCAGAAAAAAAGGTTAACTAATATGCTCTTAAAGATTAATAATGGTAGAAGCTATGCATCAAGCATTTTTCCATCCCTTAAAACAGCAAGATTATGAAGAAGTGAATGAACACTAAAGACTCATTGGTTGAAAAAGTTTCTTTAACTATGAGGTGACTAACATTTTTAAAGGAAGTATTCACTGATCTTCCACTCTAACAGATTATTGCTTAACTAGTTTTTTGTTTGTTTCAATAAGTGTACAATTTAGTGACTATTCACTACTTTACTTGAATCTAATGGCTTATGTGAAGATGCTATTACATAGGAAACTGACAAATAGTGTTATAAGGACATTGCACTTAACACAAGGAATATGAATCTGATTGATAGAGCATAGGTTCTTATGAGTTCAACCACTCTTAGTATGTGTGCTCTAATGATACAGTACTCTTACCAATTTTTTATTTATTCAAGCTACCATAAAGCCATCTAGTCTCGGAATGTTTAAGCAAGTGAAAAGTGGCTTCAACAACAACGTTAAGTGCCTTACCCAAAGGTTGTTGGCCCCAACCGGTTTGGCCTTCCAATGATGTTATTTGGGACTTAGGTTCATTTCGTTGTTTCAGCATGTCATATTCACCCTCCTATATATAAGGAACCACAGTAATGTTTACCATCACATGACAATAGGAATTGAAGTTGTTTGGCAGTACTAGTGATCATCCCAGAGAGAATAAGCTTGTATAAATGATTTTCATTTTCAAAATAACACAAATGAATTTATGGAGTTAAGTTTGAAAAGCAGGCTCAGTTTTGGAGAATCTTTTTCTGGAAATATAAGGTTTCATTTATGTGTATTTGGCTATCTCCAATGATAGAAATAGAGAGTACGCTCATTAATGAAGTTCCTAAAAATTTGTAGAAAGCTTTCAAATCTGTCCTTAGTCATAAAAGTTGGCACACATGTATATGTATGTATTTACACACATGCCATATTGGGGGGATAGTAGGTTGATAGGAGCTTGATTAGTTTTCAAGTTTAATAAGAGTAATATCAGTAGATTAGCTCCAGGAGGATAGATAGCTGGTTTGTGTTTTGTGTGTCAACATTTAGTGGTATTCCTGGCCCTGACAAGGCATGCTGTTTAATTTCCCTTTGATTCCATCTTATAAAATCCAAAAATTTAGTAGAACTTCTAGTATTGGAGTGTACCTTCAGAATTTTATAGTCCAGTTTTCCATTTAATATGAGAATATTTTATCTGATACTCCTATTGAAAATTCCAGCTATAGGCAATCCATCATCTCGGGCAACTAATTTTTGAGAGTTTGTCATTATTTTAACTCAAAACTGTCTCTTTAAAATGACACAAGATGTTGTAACTCCAAGAGGACTAGGAATTGCTTTAACCTGTAAATGTCTCCTCTACATCTCTGCCAGGTAACATAAAGTACAATCCAGAGAACTGGGGGGCAACAACAAAAAAAGCAATGTGTTTTCAAAGAAAAAATTTTTATCTTGAGACTGTTTAGAAGGTAGCTGACACATCTGAATCATGGCTCCAGCTTTTTCTAAATACTGTTGTTCTATGAAGTAAGATTATAAGGGAAAATTGATTCATAATCCCAAAGCTTTTTGAATTCACAAAATGGCTTTTTACCTGGAAGCCTCTAATGTTTCTAGGTAATAATATTTGAAATAAACCCGTTGTTCGTGCCTCCTAGTTTTCTAACTCAAATGTTAACTGGAATTCTTATGAAACAGCCTGCAGAAACCTAGTTTTTACACAGCACAGTAAGGTGCTATTGGTGGTAGATCTAAAATGATTGGAAGAGATAACTTTTTCCAGCTTCATTAAGGAGATAACATAGTCAATTACATATATTAAATAAGGGAATGACATGCTCATTGTCTACTTAAATGCACAGGCAGATAGGAGATAAAGGATCAGAGTGGCATGGAATTGGGTAAAACTTTTTTTATATATAAACATATTTTTATTGATTTCAGAGAGGAAAGAAGAGGGAGGGAGAGATAGAAACATCAATGATGAGGGAGAATCATCGATCAGCTGCCTCCTGAACAACCCCTGCTGGGGATAGAGTCCAAAACTTGGGCATGTGCCCTTACCTGGAGTTGAACCATGATCTACTGGTTCGTGGGTCGAGGCTCAACCACTGAGCTTTACTGGGTGGGCTGGGTAAAACTTTCTGTTAACATATTTAAGATCTTCAGTTGGTAATACATAAGTGATACATGCTCATAGTTCAAAATTTTAAACATAAGAGAGAGAAAACAAATGTAATAAAAGCATATATAGTGACATTCTCCATCCTAATTTTGTCTTGCAGCCATCTAGTACCCTTCACTAGAGACAAGCAGTGTTATTAATATCATTATAATTTCTTAATAGTAATGATCAAATATATTTATTTAAATGTATTTATTTGTAAATAGAGGTTTTATTCATATTCAAACAAATGCTCCCCACTCTGCTAATTTTTTAAATACAAATTATGCATACTTTACATACTGTTCTTCACCTTTGGTTTCTTCACTTAATGTAATTATTTTCAACTGGTGTGCCACAAGCATTTTTAAAACATGTAATACCTGACTGTTTAGTTAGGGGCACTGACCTCTTTTCCCTTAGATTATCAAATAAAAAAATGACAACAGCCAACGCAGTGGCCATCTGGTGTGAATGAATAAAAATTATACCTAGCTCAAACTACATAATGGGGTAAATCTTAATTCCCCAATTAACATACCTACACTATCCCCAATCTTGTCACTTGTCTTTTAGGGTCTTCTCTTAGAAACTCTGGATTTCCCTATCTGTGTAATAGGTTCCTTCCTTATATTTTCTTCACCCCAAACCAGTGGAACTGTGTCTGTCAACTGTGACACTTAATATTCAGATCTCTGGGCTTCCAGCAGCAATTCTGATTCTCAGTTGATCTGGGGTGGAGTTTAGACATACTATATGTTTTTTAAAAGCTCAACAGGTGATTGTTATAAATAGTCAAATTTGAGAATTTCTACCTTGGGTACAGTTAAATTGTTGGGCCTAGAAGGAAACCCAGGATTTGGGAAGTAATTAGAGATTCTTTGGTCTCTTAGAGTTAGGGACTTAATGTAATAGATCTGTCCTCTCCCTTACTTTATGGGTGGGTATAGCCATTTTATTGATTTGAGAGAGAGAAACATGAATTGGTTGCCTCCCATACACACCTTAACCATGGATTGTACTAGCAATCTAGGTGTATGTCCTTACTGGGTATTGAACCGGCATGGGACAACGGTCCAACCAAGTGAGCCACACTGACCAAGGCGGGTATAACCATTTGGAAACATAATCATTGCCTGACTGGGTTGTACCAAATCTAGTGGGGTTTTTTTTATGAAATATTGGAAATCATAGGGTTGGAATGTGTTCATCTAAGTATACATGGAAGAGGCATATTGTGAAATTATAATATTGGATTATTGTTTAATACTTTCATGAATAAAAAGTCTTTGAGCATATAATGTTTTTGATTCACAGATTTGAACAAATAGTAAACAACTAAACTTTATGCTTCAGGTTCAATAATAGATTTGACCAGAAAATCATACTTTGAGTATTATTACTTTATATTATGCTGAGCAAAACAGTTATTAATAATTTTGAAATTCTTTTAAAAAATACTTCAAATATCTCTCCGTTTCTTTTTTTTTTTTTTTTTAGTTTTTTTTGGAAGGGGATATCTGCTCAGACAGTAAGAATTATAAGAGGTCAGTTATAAATAATGCTCCTTGTTTTCAATGTGATAAAAATTTTATGTTCGTGTGCTAACATATTAACCTGTAAGCTTTTATGTTAAAAGTTGCCTTCCACAAAAGAATATATGCAGGTTTAGGGGGGATAACTTGAGTGAACAAGTCTGACAGTGATAGTATTTGGATATCTGCTCAGACAGTAAGAATTATAAGAGGTCAGTTATAAATAATGCTCCTTGTTTTCAATGTGATAAAAATTTTATGTTCGTGTGCTAACATATTAACCTGTAAGCTTTTATGTTAAAAGTTGCCTTCCACAAAAGAATATATGCAGGTTTAGGGGGGATAACTTGAGTGAACAAGTCTGACAGTGATAGTATTCCACCACCTTTTCTCTTTCATTCAGGACTAGAATCAATGGAAGTGGGACGAGCTGTAGAGTAGCTTCTAGAGTGTCTGGACAGCTACTCAGTGATTTTCCATACATGACCTCTCTTCTGATGGTTTGTAGGCTTGTGCCTGGGCATACCATTCAGTAGAGTTGCTGCTTGGTGGACAGGTCTTTAGCTGTTGACACTGGGCTGCTTCCAATCGTTGCAACCCTTTAGGGAAGGCTGCCTTCCTGTTCTTAGCTAGGAAAGAAAAATTTGAAGTTGACTTTTTTAGAGCCTTCATTTATTAGTCAATCCCATTTTTTCCACGGAATCAGAGAAATGCTTCTTACTAATTTTATTTTTTAGTATAGTCACCTAATTTTGGTCAGGCTATAATGTAGAATCTGTCCCTGAATACCTTACTTACTTCTCTTGTGAAGAAGGCAGCCATTATTTTCTGTTAGCTGAAATGGAGGTTTTTAAAAAATTTATTGTTCTTAAGCTTGATTATGAACTGCTCTAAAATGTGAAAGAAGTAGCCTTTTTGCTGCTGTACTTTCTGATGTTTGGAGTGGTCATCTGTTAGAACTTCTTCCTCCCTTTCTCCTTCTCTCTCCCTAATCCCCTTTTTAAATGATTTGGTGTTCTTTTAATATTCTGAAAGTGAACTCTTTATAAAATTTGGAGACATTAAACAAAAAATTTTTAAGGAAACCTAATACTCCAAGGGAGAAATGTATAGAAATTTTAGATGTCAAGTTTGCATATTTTTATATTTGATTCTAGTTTTAAACATAAAAGTTAGCTTAAGTAATCTCCAACTCACTTTTAGGAACTGTCTGTAGGTATTTTTTAGCATTCCTGACAATTTATTATTACTGCTTTATTCTTCTAGCACAGTGGTTCTCAAACTTTAGGACTTGGTAAAATATTGATTATTGGGCCCCAACCTGTAGGTTCTGACATAGTTAGTTTGTCTGTGGTAGGACCCAAGAATTTGTACTCTTAATGGATTCCCAGGTAATACTGCTCCTAGACTAGAAACCACACTTTGAGAACCACTATTCTAGCATTACAAATATGTTTTATCTTTATAAATGAGCAAGCTCTGATTCACAAATTGCACAAAAATAATGGTGCATATGTAATTTTAACATGTTTAGTGTGTCCATGTATATATACATATATATATATACATGTAGTATATCTATTCACTATGTAGTATGTGTATATTTATACATAAATGTTTTATGTATGTATTTATACATAAATGCACTTATATAAAATTTATAGCCTCTTATAGTGTAGTGTTTGGAACCAGGCGGTAGGTGTATAGTTTACTGTAAACACCAAGGGGTTTTTTTGTTGTTGTTTAAAATGTTTTTTTATTTTTTTATTTTTTGTTTTACAGAGATGGGAAGGGAGGGAGGGGGGAGAGAGAGAAACGTCGATCGGCTGCCTCGACACGTGCCCTACTGGAGATCGAGCCTGCAACCCTGGCATGTGCCCTGACTAGGAATCGAACTGTCGACCTCTCGGTGCTTGGGGCAATGCTCAACCAATTGAACCACACCAGCCAGGGCTAAACACCAAGTTTTCAATGAACACCACTCTTCCAAAACCCTTACCACATTCTCCCCAATACTAATAACCAAAATTACAATATACAAACAAGGAGCTTTCACCTACTGGAAAGGTTTCTGATTATCTCTTGGACATCATCAAATTGATAAAGTTATTGGGAACGGCTTATATATTTTTTGAAAATGATTTCTTGAGGAAATGGAAATTAGTTTTAATTTTTTAGGCAGAGTTACCATGATCTAGATTTTCTTCCCTTGTAGAAAACAAAGGCCCTGAAATAGAATAGCTAAGGAAACAAATTCTCAAACTCTGCCTTGCTTCCCAGTTCAAGCTGTGCCATACTAGGTATAACCTGTAGTTATCTTTAGATATAGGTTATTATCTATAACCTGCTTTCCTCACTCTTCATTTTCTCCATAGCTCTGAGAGCTCATTTTGAAGAAATAATGGATGAGCCATCCGCCTTGGCCAAACCTCTGGAGCTGAACCAGCACTCCCGATTCATAATTGGTTCTGTGTCTGAAGATAACTCGGAGGATGAGATCAGCAGTCTGGTGAAGCTGGATCTACTGGAGGAGAAGGAGGGCTCTCTGTCACCCACTTCTGTCAGCTCGGATACACTCTCTGATATGGGCATCTCTAGCCTACAGGATGGCTTGGCCTTACATGTAAGGTAAGAGAGAGAAGTTTAATGTTTTATCCATTTAATATGTCCTGCTTTCACTGAGTTTGTTCTGAAAAGAGTAAGAATAATTTTATCCAAGATTGCTTCTTCTTTTCCTATGTCACCGGTCTTAAAGCTTTGTTGAGTAAGTGGAAAATGATGTACGTTGTCTGGAGTATAGTTTTTGAAAATATCTTTTCCTAAACATTACTCTCAACTTTTTCTGGTTCTTTCTACATACTAGATCTTTTACTGAGACCTAGAGAATGAGAGTTACGTTGAGGAATTTCAGTCTCTGTATTACTTTGACTACCATTGTTGTAACTATCTTGGTGATTAACAGGTCTTTTGCAAGGATGGGCAAAAGATATTTGTAATAATATCTCTTTGAACTACTTCATCATAGCAGGAAGTTATATTCTATTTCTGACTGGGCCAGTACTCAATAAAGAGCTGTAGAAGGAATAAGGGATTGTTATAGAGCTCTTCTTTTTCTCTAGAAATGCAATTCCCTATATGTAATTGAGAATATCAGTAAATAGTAACCCTGGATTGTTCTTATTTGTTGATGTTTGATTGTACAACTAGTGTGTGATATACTAACCTTTGGTCATTTGCTTTGCATTTCTTGGATTAAAAGTTATGAATTAGTGGTTCTTGGTTTTCACTGTACATCAGAGTCATTTGGGGAGCCTTAAGAAATGAACCCCATCACCACTGATTCTGATTCATTTGATATTGGCTTGGCTTGGAGCTGGGGCAATTTCTTTTAAAGCTCTCCAGATAATTCTAATATACAGCCAGGGTTTATATTATAGGTCTAGCCTAGATAAACATAAGTTAGGGTAGGTATTGCTGCTGTTATTATCTTGATACTTCTATCATTAATGGATTATAAAGTAATTCAACTCCTTTTTTATATACTCAAGATACACACTCTGTACTTCACAGATTCCTAGAACTATAATGAACCAGAGATAATTTAGTCTAATTCCTATACTTAAATAGATGAGAAAACAGGCCTAAATAGGGACAATACTTTGCTTAAGGGGTCAGGCCTTTGTTTTTATGTAAACATCTTTAATATGTTTTTATTGATTTTTAGAGAGAGAGGAAGGGAGAGGGATAGAGAGATAGAAACATCAATGATGAAAGATTGGCTGCCGCCTGCAGGCCCCCTACTGGGGATCGAGCCTGCAACCCGGACATGTACCCTGACCCGGGAGAGATCTAGTGACCTCCTGGTTCATGGGTCGATACTCAACCACTGAACCACATCACCAGTTGGGCTAATACTGGTGATGGTGTCTTTCCCCTCAAGATCATCTGTAAATGTGTTGGGGTTATGCCTGGTGGGACTTCTTGCTTTTAGAGGACAGAGGACCAATGATTTAAAACCTTCTACAATGGACAATCACACACCACCAAAAATTGTTCTCATAATGTCACAGTTTCCTATTGAGAAAGATTGGGTTAAATTTAAATCCTAGCCCTGGTTGGCGTTTCTCAGTGGTTAGCAGTGGTTCTCAACCTTCCTAATGCCGCAACCCTTTAATACAGTTCCTCATGTTGTGGTGACCCCCAACCATAACATTATTTTTGTTGCTACTTCATAACTGTAATTTTGCTACTGTTATGAATTGTAATGTAAATATCTGATATGCAGGATGTATTTTCATTGTTACAAATTGAACATAATTAAAGCATAGTGATTAATCACAAAAACAATATGTAATTATATATGTGTTTTTTAATGGTCTTAGGCGACCCCTGTGAAAGGGTAGTTCGACCCCCAAAGGGGTCTTGACCCACAGGTTGAGAACCGCTGGGTTAGAGCATTGTCCCACTCATCAAAGGGTCTCAGGTTTGATTCCTGGTCAAGTGCATGTACCTGGGTTGCAGGTTCAATCCCTGGCCCCAGTTGGGGCTGTGTGAGAGGCAACAAATCAATGTGTCTCTCACATCGATTTGTTTTTTTCTCTCTCTCCCTTCTGCCCCTGCCTTCTACTCTCTAAAAATCAGTGGAATCCTAGCTGGTTTGGCTCAGTGGATAGAGCGTCGGCCTGTGAACTGAAGGGTCCCCGGTTTGATTCTGGTCAGGGGCACATGCCTGGGTTGCAGGCTCGATCCCCATTGGGGGACGTGCAGGAGGCAGCCCATCAGTGGTTCTCTCTCATCATTGGTCTTCCCTTCTTCTCTAAAATCAATTACAATATATTTTAAAAAATCAGTGAAAAAATATCCTTGGATGAGGAGTAACAAACCAAAAATTTAAATTATTGAAGCTATACAGCACCTTAAGAATTTTTGTCTAATATGAGACTATGTGAAACAGAATATCCTTTGTTGGATTTGGAAATTGTGAGTTTGGCAATGATTAGATAGATACCATTATAGGAAATTCAGCTGATGATATTACAAGGCAGTTTATAGTTGCCAAGTCATTCCCAAAGTTGATGGCTCTTATTGCAAAGACTGTGTGATCAGTGGTATGTGTGCCTGAGAATTTGTTTGCATGCCCTACTGTTGCAAAACTCATTCCCATAGCTTGTGGAGGAGCTATGGATTGAAGTGTGATCAGCATCCTGTGTAGGAGATAGTGCCACTTCCCACTCACTCTCAGCTAGCTAATGTTCCAGTATAAAACAAAATTATTTCCCAAATCACTTGTGAATATGGTGTCCTTGGGGTAATTTAAATTGAGTCAAATTTATTTGATATTAGCAAGAACTCTGTTCTGACATCTGCCACCAATTAGCTATGCCACCATACCAATTCATGGTACCTCTTTGGACTGATTTTCCTCATCTATGAAAATGAGGATATTGGTTCAGGTACTCGTTTTCATTCTTTGAACCCAAAGTTAACTAGAGACTGGTTCAGCTTTCTGAGTGAATAGCCTAATCCTTCACAGATGATATTGAAGAAAGGGACAGGTACATTCCTAAGAGATGGTAACTGGAGGTAACCTGAAACCAAGTGAAGTGATTGCCATTGTATAGAATAAGAGTGGGCCTCTCAAGTTTAGGGTTTGGTTTTAGGTGAGAAATGAGAAGTCTGTGAGAATGATGGCTAGGTGGGAATATCTTTTCCAGAGATTGTGATGACTGGCATCACATATTTTCTAGAGCAGTGATGGCGAACCTACGACACACGTGTCAGGTGACACGCGAACTCATTTTTTTGGTTGATTTTTCTGTGTTAAATGGCATTTAAATTTATAAAATAAATATCAAAAATATAAGTCTTTGTTTTACTATGGTTGCAAATAACAAAAAATTTCTATATGTGACATGGCACCAGAGTTAAGTTAGGGTTTTTCAAAATGCTGACACGCCGAGCTCAAAAGGTTCGCCATCACTGTTCTAGAGTACCCATGAAAGACTGGATGAATCACTTTCTAAGCTTTATGACCCAAACATGAGAAAACTATAGGCCCGGTACAGGGATTCGTGCACATTGAAAGGAAATTAATTACGAGAAATATTTTAATATCGCTATTCACCCTTTCTCTATAATAGAAGTGTCAACCAAATTCACGATTGACAATGACAGATCGAAACACATGTGTGCGATTGGCTCC